AAAAAAAAAGTTCCCTTCTGCTAAACAATGTTCTTAAACTTGAAACTGCATTAGAATTACCTGGACAGTTTATGAAAAGAAATTGCTACCTCTGCCCCTTGCTCCCATTCAGTAGGTATGGATGGGGCCCAAGAATCTGCATTTCTAACAAGTCTCTATATCTACCACGGAGGCTTTCTATATTGCCGTCTAAGAAGAAGAAGAAGAATTAGTTGATTTTGATTTTCTTCTATACACTTTCTTTAATGAGTATATAATTACTTTCCTACTCAGAATACAAATTAAAAGCAAGAAATGTCATTTATAGGGCGGCGCCTGTGGCTCAAAGGAGTAAGGCGCTGGGCCCATAGGCCAGAGGTGGTGGGTTCAAACCGAGCCCTTCCCCCCCGCCAAAGAAATGTCATTTTTAAAGAAGGGAAGGGGGGGTGAGTAAGATGGCAATATAGAAAGCCTCCATGGTGGAGTGAAAATGATGTGAGTTTTGATTTTGGGTCTAGCCTTTGTAGGCTATTGGGAGCAATAGTTTATATACTCTAATCTCGCTTGGCTTTCGTTTCCACTTTTTTTTGAGACAGTCTCATTTGGTCACCCTCGGTAGAGTGTCATGGTGTCATAGCTCAGAGCAACCTCAAAGTCTTGGGCTCAAGCCATTCTCTTGCCTCAGCCTCCCAAGTAGCTGGGACTACTGATGCCTGCCACAACACGTGGCTATTTGTAGAGGTTTTGCTCTTGCTCAGGTTGGTCTCGAACCTGTGAGCTCAGCCAATCCAACTGCCTCAGCCTCCCAGAGTGCTAGGATTAGAGGTGTGAGCCACCACACCCGGCCCTCATAGATGTGTTGTGAAGGTTAAATCATATAATTTAATAATCCAAACAGTGGTTGACTTACTTAAGGTCTTTAATTAATGTTTATTCCCTTCCCTTTGATTTTCTATAAAGATGCAGCTCAGTTTTCCATAACTGGGTTTGAGGTAACATGATTTAGCTGCACCACAGGTCAAATCCATTTCCTCCAAACCTAACAAACCATATGTGTCTGTCATTGTTCATCTATGAAATTGGGTATAATAGTATAACTATATCTACTTTGACAAAAATACATAATAGTATCCACTTTGTAGGGATGCAGCCATGAGGATTAAACAAAGTAATATGTTAAGTGTGTTAATACAGTAATTGGCACACAGAAAATACACAGTAAATGTCAGTTTCCTTTGATTGGATATCTATCCAAGTATTTTGAAGTACTTCAAAAGCTCACCTAATCCAGAATACTTCAGATTTTTCCCTTTAATCACATTGCTCTCTTTTGTGTCACATTTAATTTAAAGTCAATTATTTAGTTTATTTAAAGAATACACTGTATTTTAAGAATACATTCTATATAAACTTTGTACTGGATGTTCAAGGAGATAAGGCTGTTCCCTTTGAGGCACTTGGTTGAAATGACAACATACATGAAAACTTGAATAGGAATGCAAAGCAGGGTGGGTCCAATTATATAGGAAGTAAGTGTGGCAGGAGCTTTGAGATTACAGGGGCAAATCTGTTGATTATTTTACACTCAGAAGCTATAAGATTACTAAGCGTTGCAAGAGAGCTCTGGTTTTATGGCTGAGAAAATAGACCCAGAGATCTATGGTCCAGAGTCAGACTTAATGCCTTAAGTCTCCTGGTTCTATGTTGCTTATGTAGACATATTTCTTATTATTCTCAAATCTTTTCATCAGTTAATGTTTGCTCTTTTTTTGTTTTTGTTTTTTTTTTTTTTTTTTTGACAAGGTATTGCTCTGTTGCCCAGTCTGGAGTGCAGTGGTGTAATTATAGCTCACTGTAACCTCAAACTCCTGGCCTCAGGCATTCCTTCCATCTTGGCCTTCCAAAATTCTGGGATTACAGGCACTTTTAATTGATAGTTTGGTGTATGTAGTGAGTTAACTGGGGCACTAAAGCCAAAATGTTTGGATTTGAAGACTGGCTTTGCCATATACCGTAAGTGTGACTTTGGGCAAGTCACTTATCTCTGTGCTTCAGTTCCCCACCTGTATAATGATATAATAATAGTACTTTATTTCATAGGGTTGTTGGGAAGATTAAATAACATATGTAAAGTAAGGAAAACTGGATTTATCATTATAATTGCTATCAGTCTTGGAGAGAATGGAGGTCAAAGAATCTAGTCATCTATTTTTTTTTTTTTTTTTGAGACAGAGCCTCAAGCTATCCCCCTGGGTAGGGTGCCGTCGCATAACAGCTCACAGCAACCTCAAACTCTTGGGCTTAAGTGATTCTCTTGCCTCAGTCTCCGCAGTAGCTGGGACCACAGGTGACCGCCACAACACCCAGCCATTTTTGGGTTGCAGCCGTCATTGTTTTGGAGGCCCCGGGCTGGATTTGAACCCCCCACCTTAGGTGTCTGTGGCTGGTGCCCTAGCCACCTGAGCCACAGGCCCCCTGAGTCTGTTTTCCTTTTGTTTTAAAACCTCTTCCCTCAGATTGTGATCAGTAAACATATGTTAACTACTTAATCCTAGTGGAAATTTTTGTAACTCTGAAAGTGAGGTTTGAGATTGGCCTGGCTTAGACTGGTACTGGGAAAGTACAGAAAAGTAAAAAATGACATATAGCAACAGATCCTAGGAACTAATAGTTTCATCTTTAGAAATGTCGGTCAAAATCAATAGGTGCTGAGAAAAATGAGGGTCAGTGAGTTTAATTCTAAATGAGTGTTCCCAACTATTTTAAGACTTATTCTCAATTTCCTTAGACAAAAATCTGACCTTTTTAGGAAAGTGCAGAGAACATGTCTTCGTGAGCCTGCTTTTGAGAGAAATGTTTTCAAAGGTGCGGCATTTCAGCCGGGAGGTGGCTGCAAGAATTTTGTGAACTGAAGTGTCAACATTGACTTCTCTGGGAAGAAAAGAGCTATCTCTACACAGTAGTTTAATTACAATGGCACTACTTGAAACAAGCAACAGTAGCAGCAGAAGCAAAGGTCAATGTTAGCCTAGTTACAGCTCAGTTCAATATTCAGATTAGAGAAAGTAATAACCATTTTTTTCCCTGGTGCACCCTTCTCTTCTTTTCTCAAACGCCTGCTGAAAAATTCTAGGCCAAATTACAAGCCAGAAGGGCTTCAGCAGTAGGGAGTGGAGAGAGCCGGTGGAGATGAAAAATATATTTTAGGGTTAGAAAAATCCTGGGGTTTGTTTTTTGTTTGTTTTGCAGGTATTTGTCACTACCTTCAGCATCGTCTCATAATCTTTCAGGAAATCTAGCGAGGGAGAAGGGCACCAAATCTTCCGCCTTTGGCAGATATAAGTCCACCCCCACCCTCGGCACCCAGGCAATATCAGAGTAAAACAATAATGCAAGGATTTTAAAGTGAAAAAGAAATTACAGAAGACCAGCCTAGGGTCTTCGTGTGGAAGGGAGTTAGCGATGATCAGGCCACCCACAGCGTCAGCAAAGATAGAATAATTAAAGAGTCACTACTGGCTGAGGAGCCCCCAAATTTGCGGTAGTGCCAACGGGCTGGGTCTCCAGGTGTCCGAGGATCTGCCCTGCTCACAACCCTTAGCAGTTTCTCAGTTTGGATCTCGCTTGTACACTGTCTTACTTACTGAGCGCCTAGCTCAGAGATGACTGCAGAGCCAGCTCTCAACATTTGGAAGCTAAAGCAGCTTTTGAGGTTGGGGGCGGAAGGGCACCAGTTTTATTTTTGGTCTGAAGTTCCGGTGTGGTCTGTTCCAACGGCCAGCACAATATTTGGAATCACTCTCTCTCTCTTCCACTTCAGTCCTGCTGAGGTCGGGAAGCCCCAGAGGGCCCTCGTGGGGATAAATGGTTAAGCCGCGTACTCCAGGTGTCAGCCTGGACCTGTTCGAAAACCACAACCCCCAGAATCCCTTGGGCTAGGAGGCCAGGCCGCAAGAAGATGGCTTCAGAAGGGTAGAGCAGGCGGCAAGAGGAAACCTACTCCTTAGCGGTTTCTTTTCCGGATGTGTTTAAATTACCGAAAAATCACATATATACACCACCCTACTAACCACTTTCGACGCTGCGGAGGCCACGACAGCCGCCTCGCCCGCTCCTCCAGGGGCATCCTGGGAGTAGTAGTCCAACCGCCAGACTGTGCCGAACTACCTTCCCCAGAGTGCCCTGCGGCCCGGGAGTTATCAACATTCTTTTCCAAAACTATTTATGCATTGAGACCCCCCTGTCTCCGGTCTCACTCTCTTTCTGTCGACTCCTTCCCGTCAGTCACAACAGAACGGCGGTCACAGCAGAGGCCCCTGCCCCAGCCGCACAGTCCCGGGAGGCACTTCCGGCGGCGGTTCACTTCCTGGTTGGGTGGATGGAGCCGGGCGGGAGCGCGCGCGGGGGAGGGGCAGCGGGTCAGTCTTTGCCCTGCGCTCGGGAGATCAGCTGGCGCGCGGGCGGGCGCCGAACGCGGCCCCGGCTCTCGCTGCAGCGCCGCCTCCTCTCTGCGTCGCAGGCCAGCCCGGCGGCCGTGACAATGTCGCGGGGCTGGTAGCTGGGCGCCAGCCGCCGAGCCGTCTCAAGTGGGTGCAGCCAGGATGCTGCCTCGAGGGGCGGCGGGGAGACCGAAGAGGAGGGGGAGGCATTGCCCGGCAGGGTCGGCGCTGCCCGAGAAGCTCGAATCCCTCCTTTTTCCGAGCTGTGAGCCTCGGGCACCCGGGTCCAGGGCTCTGTGGCCAGGGACGCGTTTTCAGCCCCAGGGTTTTCTCGCAGGAAAATGCATGAAGCATTTCCCACTGATGATGGCTTTTGCTCCCCCTAGGACTCAGCACTTGAATTTTTAAGTGTGTTACTGATTCATCCTCTCTCTTCCTCTGTCATCACAGGTTTAAACTTACACGAATCGCTCTCTGGAGGAGGAGGGGACCCGCCGCGCGATTGACACGCGTATTCCTATAGGCATCCTCCCTCAACCCCCACCCCCACGGCCGGATTCGGGTGGCTCCTCTCCGAGCTGAAATCCGAGAAGAAATCCTTGGATCTCTTTTCTAAAAAAAAATCTAAAAACCATTGGTATTTTGCTTTGCTGCTTTTTATTTGCAAGATGAAGAAGTTTTTCGACTCCCGGCGAGAGCAGGGCGGCTCTGGCCTGGGCTCTGGCTCCAGCGGAGGAGGGGGCAGCACCTCGGGCCTGGGCAGTGGCTACATCGGAAGAGTCTTTGGCATCGGGCGACAGCAGGTCACTGTGGATGAGGTGTTGGCGGAAGGTACGGTGGGACTCAGTGCGCCGTATATTAAAATCTTGTGCTGATGCGGCAAGACTCTGGTTCCTAGTTGTTGAATGTATGAATGGGTTGTGACCAATTGACCCTCCCTTCCCCCTTCACTTGTCCTGTGTGTAATTGTCCTTGAGAGATTTAAAACTGAGATTTGAAAGTGACAGGGCTTATGGAGGTGGAGGGAGTTGCCGAAATTGTTTACCTCAGGGGCCTTTTATTTTTTATAAAAACGTCGAAAAGCCACTTTCGTCCCCTCACCGAATTATGAGGAACAGAGGAGAAAACCTGTGTGTGAAAGTGTTTTTACACTAGATGCAGGGTAGTGGGCTTATCACCCTCTTAAAACTTGACATATTGATGTGAAGGCTGACGGGTGAGGATTGGGGGGGACCTTTAAGAAGAGAGAGGGGTTTCTCCTACCCAACTTTACCACTTCCATGAGCGGGCGTTGGAAGAGGATTTTCGGAGAATGGGAATGTGTTTTTCCGAGAGTCAAGGCTCTTGGTGGATTTGACTGGGTCTGTTTCCTAACCCAGCTGTAATCAGGTCCCCAGGATATAGCTAAGATAACAGAAATTATATAAAACGAATGTGGCTATTTTGAATTCAGTCTAGTAGGCCCTTCTTCCTCCTGTTTTAGTTTTTATTTATTTTTTAACCAAAAGAATTCTTTGAGAGCAGCTCTTGGTTTTGTTTTTCCTCTGTTGGAGAGGATGTTATGTAGATGTGTGTAAATTCCTTCTGTGTGTTTCATCTGTATATCTATACTCAGGGAGATATATTCTTTATTTCCCAGGCTTTTAGGAAATCTTTGCTTGTCTCTTTTGGTAACCTTAACCTCGACCTTCATAATTATGCCAGACTCAGACTTTTCACAGCCCACTGCCTGCCTAGTGTGCTTTTATTTCTAATAAAAGCAGAGATTTCCTTGGCATGAAGCGATTCCAACTAATTGGATGGGGCCAACCTGCTGTAGGTTGTGTTATAGACTGAGATGGGTCCCAGGAAGGAGGAGGGTTGTATTACTGCAACATGGTGGTGGCAGGGAACAGTTTATTAGCTAAGGAAGAGAAAGCTAAGAGGCATCTCTAAGAAGGAATCTTTTGCAAGCCGAGGTAGAAGGAGGGGTCCTCACCTAGGCCTGGGAAATGCTTGTCATGGTTGAGTGTTGCAGGTTGGTGGATGGGTTGAGAAGATGAAGAAGCTATGTTTGGCCCTCAGCTTGTATAAGCACTAGATTTAGCAGGGCCCAGTTTTCTGAGGATAGGGTCAAAGCCTGTACTTTTAAAACACTATTTTTAAAAAAGAATCTGACAACTAACGTCCTTGTGAAATTATTGCAATTTTCCATTCTAAGTACTGCTCTAGCTGGACTTAATCTGGAGCCTGAGTCACTGTCCCTCTGGATCCTTCCTGTGGGCTTTGGTGCAGGATAGGAGATGCTTCTGTGCCCACTGTCAGATGGCATCCTTGAGTCTGATATGTCTGTTTCCTCCTGTGCCAAAGCCCTTGACTGCAGTGGGGTGGAGAAATGAAGGAGGACAGTGACAGAAAATTGAAGAGGAATGGGGGAGGAGCACAGAGCTCTTTCCTTTTCTTTGAATGGCTGCTGCTGACTGTAGAGCCCAGAAGCACTTTGTTCAGCAAGGATATTGTCTCATATTGTCCCCCTAAGTGCCTGTTCTCCAAGTGTGAAAAGAGTGATGGAGAAAAGGCAAAATTGGTCTTTGTTATGTACTTATTTAGGTTGCCCCATGTGTACCCAGAAATTCATTCCTGAGAACTGCACATCATGCGTTATAATATTTTTAATTGGAATTTAGGGCTTGCAGCTCTGTATTTATTCATTCAACAAATAAGGAGTGCCTGTGAGGTGCCAGGCACTGTGCTATGCTCTGGGGATTTATTATACTAGATGCTAGTGCTGATAAACTACTTTGAGAGACAGAGAATAGCCAATTAGGGGAATAGAGTGATAAGTGCCATCATTGAGATAAACTTAGGGTACAGTTGCCCCCATTTTGGGGGAGCCAAGAATTGTTTTCTGGAGGACGTGACTGAAGAATGAATAGGAGCTGGCCAGTCTGATGGCAGTGTGGGCAGAGACTCAGTAGCAAGAGAATATCATGTAAAACCAGGACTTCCAGTACTTCCCTTTTGATGTACTTTGGCTTTAATTGAGTTTCAATTTGTAAAAGTATGTAGATATGTAGCAGCCAGTACACAAAGAATTTATGTAGCACCTACTAAGTCTAAAGGCACTACAAAGTTCTAAAAGGGATGAGGGTGGTGTAAAGTGTGACGTCTGTCTTTGAGGAGCTACCAGTGAGTTTGGGAAGACAAGGCATACATTCACATGTACAGTAGCATAATCACAAGCACTGTCTGTAGTGTCAGGTAGACCCAGGTTTAAGTTCTGCATCTGTTCTTTACTAACTGGAACCTTGGACAAGATATCTCACATCTCTCTTGATTCTCTATTTCCGTATGGCAGTAGTTTGCAAACTGGAGCCTGGATCAAGAGTATCCACATCACCTGGGAGCTTGTTAGAAATGTAAATTATTGGGCCTCACACCATAGCCAGGGGTCCTCAAACTACGGCCTGCAGGCCATATGCGGCCCGCCTGGTGTTTTTGCCACTGTAGCTGACTTGTTCTGGGCCCACAGTCCAGCCCTCCAAAGGTCTGAGGGACAGTGAACTGGCCCCCTGTTTAAAAAGTTTTAGGACCCCTGCCATAGGCTGTGATGTGCGGGGTTTTAACAAGTTCCTGGAGAGATTCTGATTCAAGTTAAAGTTTGAGAACCACTGTTCTATGGGTTGGTCTTGAAGATTAAATGAGGCAATATGTATAAAGTATTAACATTTTTTAGGTGTTTAATAAATGGTAGCCATTATTTACCAGTAATATTACATCTTATATATATATATATATATCATACATACTCTCTCTATATATGCATACACATCATGTGTTTTTTATATATATATTACATATATGTACAATTAAGGGACATGGGAACAATGTGAAGGCCAGTTTGGTTACAGCAATCTGAAGCAATCCCTTTCCCCGTCGTGGGTGGGCAGAGCCGGATGTTCTTTGCAGAGGCCTGACCAACTCCCTAAAGGGTCAGTAGTTTGGGATTGTTATACTCCTTCCCTGGACCCTTTTCCCAGTGAGTCCCCAGATGCTGACCTATACACCAGTCCCAGAAAGAGTTGTCTGAGGACTGTGAGAGTTGTACACTTGAGTGTCCAGAGCAGTGGTCAAGCAGTTTAGGAGGTGTGAAGTGGGAGGCTTAAGTGTAGACCAGGTTACCACTATATCCCACTTTTTATCTCTTTTCTCCTAATATTCTCCTTTATTATTAACTTTATAGTAAGGAATTGTAACACCCCTGAGGAACAGATGCTGGGCAAGACAGGAGAATGCCTGACTAGCAGCGTTCTTTCTTCATTGGGAGCACCAGCCTTTCTGGCCTGGTTTCACTAACTAGTCCAGCAGGGGCTTGTTTGGGGACAGTGAAAGCTTTAAGTCATGAATTTGAAGGGCAATGGCTATCTCTAGGTGGGTGCCGGTGTTGCTGGATGAAGAGGGTCTGCCTGCCTGTTACAGTCTAGGGGATACTCAGAGATGGGGGGATAGGTTCACCAAACTTTATTTATTTACTTATTTATTTAATTTTAGATAGAGTCTCACTGTGTTGCCCTGGGTAGAATGTCATGGTATCACAGCTTACAGCAACCTCCAAATCTTGGGCTTAAGCGATTTTCTTGCCTTAGCCTCCCGAGTAGCTAAGACTATAGGCTGCCACCATACCACCTGGCTATTTTTGTTGTTGTTGTTACATTTGTCGTTGTTTAGCAAGCCCAGGCCAGGTTTGAACTGCCAGCCTCCGTGCATGTGGCCAGTGCCTTACCCACTGACCTATGGGTGCCATCTCACCAAGCTTTATTATCGGAAGGCCAGCAATTCTGGAGAACAGTAAGAGTAGCCTCTCCAAGACTGTTTTGCCCTTCCATTTCTAAAACCACAGTTCTATACATAAAAATTCAAAGCAAAAACCATATTAACCCTTATCTTAAACCATAATCAGCATAACCCATGACTTAGTACAATGTTTCCAATTTAAAAGTTAATCTCGTAAATCAGTTGCCTTCAACTACTCAAAACACACATTTTTAAGTTGAAGCTAAATTTACAAAATGAGAATGGAAGACATGAGGTGAAGGTCTGACGTCAGACCTAAACCGACCAGACCAGCTGTGTCATGTCAGCTCTAGCCTGACTAACTCCTCCTTATTCTCACTACATGTGCTCTCGCCAGGGAGGATATTTTCTCTCTAGCTTTCTCAGTGAAGATGCCATGATGAGATGCTAAATCATGCCCAAGATAATAGGTATGTGATGTCAAGGGAAGATTTGGTTTAAGATTCCAGAATGAGCTCAGTGGGGAAACTGGAGCAATGTTCAAAGAAGGGCTGAGAAGCTATGCTTTTATCATACTTCCTTATATGAGGACTTATGTCTAAGCTTAAAGCAATAAATAACTTTATTTATTGCTGTGTCTAAGGCAACATTCCAGAACTGTATCACTTCTACATAAGATGGTCCAGGTGGCTCTTCAGAACAGTTTTCTCACCTGTATTCAAGGAATCCAGATCTAGGGCTAATGAGAGCTACTGCCTTTCCATATCAGTAAATATTGATAATTTCTCCTGCCAACAGAACAAAGTAGTAAGGCTTACAACTGTGTGTGAAACCACTGCTTAAAAAAAAAACAAACCTTACTATTCACATAATTCTAACTTGTGGTGTCAATATGATGCATATATGTATTCATCTAGTGGATATTAGTGCTTCTTTGTGGCAGGCACTGTATAATAACCTTGAGATAAATGTCCAGCTTTTAGCAGATGGTAAAAGATACTGTGAGATGATAAAGAGAAAGCGCCTGTGGGTGCGGGTTCATAGATGATACGTGGTTT